TGTGGTAGATTGGACTTGCTTTGTGAGCTCATTCGGAGCTTTTCGGTATTGTACGGTTGCCCGGTGAGTTATATAGTTAATTGTTACATATTGATTTGAACATATATATATTTTTATATGAATGTTTTTGGTCTTGAATGGAGTCACACGATCTTGATTTGTCTTTGATTCCGTCTCTTGAGTCGATTCCATATTACTATCTCGGTACATCGGTTTGCTTTTCGGATCCGAACTTGTTTGTTTTGTTCCTTGAATTGTACGCCATAGTACGGGTACTACTTCGTGTGGCACGCCGGAAGTTTATGGCGAAGTCAAGATCCCGGGTTGGACGGGTGAGACTTTCTGCGGTTGTGAATACTCATTGCTCAGAAAGGAGGAAGAGCAATGAGTAGGGAACCTTGGCACATACCCGGTAGAGGAAGGCGGGCAGTGCGAGGTTTTCCGTAATGTATGATTCCGACTCGGACTTTGGCATGAGCCCGGAAGGTGAAGGACGGGGGGATGGACTGTCCTCGTTATGTATACCGATTCGATCTCTTGGTTCTTAATACTTATTGGTATTCTAACGTATATATTTGGTTGTTGATCCCGTCTCCTTGTTGTATTGAGCATCAATGATATGATATATTATGGTGATTTGAATATGGAATACTATTATCTTAGCATCCGGTACGTAATTGTTCACTCGGTTTCTTGTAAGTCTCGGTTTGCATTTGGATGATTTCTTGAACTCTTTTATTGATAAGAGTTTATTATATATGTTTATAAACATGTGCGATATTGATATGTAATGCTTAACTATTTAACTCACTAAGCGTTGGCTTACCATTTAAGTAGCAACCTCTCTCAGGAAAGAAGACGAACAAAAAGAAAGAACCCGTTGTTTGACTTGAAGATTTATCAGGGAACTTGAAGATATCGATCTTGCTTTTGGGTAAATAGTAGCTTATTATCGTATCTCATAGTTGTAGTATGTGTAGCTTATATATAGTCTTGTCCCGTATTCTTTTGCTACATAATTCGGGTTGTAAGTAAAAAAATTCCGTTATATCTGGTTTGGAATTATGTTTCGAAGTTTTTTTAGAAAATTAATATCCCATATTTTGAGGTTAATTAATGTTATGCCCAGATCTGTGTGTTTCAAAGGGTTGGTCCTTCATGGCCTCTGGTCCTTCATGGTCTCTGGTCCTTCATGGCCTCTGGTCCTTCATCATCGCCTCTGGTCCATTTTCATCGCATCTGGTCTTCTTCCAGACTTAGTCATTTCAGCAGCCTCTGGTCCATCGCCTGCCTCTGGNTCTGGTCTTCTTCCAGACTTAGTCATTTCAGCAGCCTCTGGTCCATCGCCTGCCTCTGGACCAATTCATCGCCTCTGGACTTCTTCCAGACTTGGTCATTTCAGCAACCTCTGGTCCATCGTCTGCCTCTGGACCAATTCATCGCCTCTGGACTTCTTCCAGACTTAGTCATTTTAGCAGCCTTTGGTTCATCGCCTGCCTCTCGACCAATTCATCACCTGCCTCTCGACCAATTCATCACCTCTAGTCTTCCTCCAGACTTAGTCGTTTTAACAACATTTTTAGATTTTCCATCATTGGCCCCGATTGCTTTGACAAAATTTTTAGAATAATTAGGATCAATTTTGGTCCCAATAATCAATAAATTATATTTTATTGAAGATTTTATAAAATTGGTAATTTGGGGTTTGCTCAAATGAGATGTTACACCTTATCAGTAACATTCTCAGCCATCAAAATTGATTGTTGGTAAGGATCTTTTATCCGATAAGTGTTTATTGGGTAAAAGTCTTCCCCATCATATGTTAGGTAAGATTTTCGGTCCTTGTCATGCAAATCCGGTAAGATAAATGGCATCTGATAACGATTACCCTGTAAGGGTTTTGGTAAACAAACTGTTATAATTTTGTTTTCGGATCAAGCTTCTTGTCAGTACTGAGCTCTTAAGCCAGCCATCTAGTACTCATAAACATTATACGACATGATGTTTTTGTGGGATAACAATTAGCTTAACTGAACAAACGAACGAACACGAACGGTAAACAAACGAAAATAATTGTGTTCATGTTCGTTCTTTTAGAAATCAGGTGTGTTCGTGTTCGTTTATGTTCGTTCGTTAACATGCTAAACGAACGTAAACGAACAGACCTAAACGAACATAAACAAACGAACACCAATACTTGTCATTCAATTAACTATTACACACCAATTATCCATAGCTTAAACATACATAAAACAATCACCATTCATCAACCATAATTAATATATTAATACTTCAAAGCTTTTTAAAATTTGAATCCAAACTAAATAAATAAAAGTTATACATTAAAATTAATATATAAACGAACGAATATAAACAAACATAAACGAACAAATATAAACGAACGTAAATGAACGAACATAAATGAACGAACGAGACTCTTGTTCATGTTCGTTCGTTTAACTAAACGAACAAAGAAGTTTGTTCATGTCAATTCATTTATTAAATAAACGAACATAAACGAACTTCCCATCGAACGGTTCACGAATCGTTCATTGAACGTTCGGTTCGTTTATAGCCCTAATAATAGTATGAACCGATACAGAGATTACCAGTTGCAAACCCTTTCTTAGTAAACAAATTTTATAGTAATATAATCAAATTATAATTGAAATTGAAATAAAAATATAGAAAAAGAATTAATATTTTGGGTATTTATGACCACCAATTAGGGTTTTTCACTTGTTCACTTTTCCACTTCCTATCTTCTCATCTCATCTCATCTTCTCTCCTCTTCTTTTCCACGATCCAAACCCTAGCATCTGTTGGAGAAAGCAAAATAATGACGGGAAAAGCGAAGCCGAAGAAGCACACGGCGAAGGAAATCGCCGCGAAAGTCGATGCTGCGATGACGAACAGAGGCGGCGGAAAGGCCGGAGTTGCTGATCGGACCGGCCAGGAGAAGGGCGGTCACGCTAAGTATGAATGTCCTCACTGTAAGATCACTGCACCGGATGTTAAAACGATGCAGATTCATCATGAATCGAAGCATCCTAAGATCCCTTATGATGAATCGAAGATCACTAACCTTCATGCTGTCCTCGCACCCGTCGCGGATACATCGAAGCCTCGTCCTGGTATTCGTGGAAGTCTCAAGAAGTGAATTTATCTATCTATTATCGCCGATGAAATCCAGATCCTGCGACGGTTTTTGGTGGTGGCGATTCAATTTAGGTTCGATTTCTCTAATCTGTTGTTTGTTAAATGAATGATGGTTCATGGTGTTGTTGTTGTTATAAAGCTATGTGACGCACTTAAATACTTATTTGCAGTCTATGATCTGAAATCTATCTTTTAGATTGTGAGTTTTGCACTGATCTTTTCATCATGTTCATAATACGAATCGTATGTTGATTTGGATAGACTTTTTGTGTAGAGTTCTTGATTTAGACGCTTGTATATTGATAATACCCTATGTGTCTTTTGCTGCTTTTGATCCTGTAGCGATCAACTCCCCAAATCTTACTTTTGTGTTCTTCAAAGGGATAATTGAACACCTTCTGCCCCATATTTTCCTCTGCCAATATGTAGTATGAACATAGTTCTAGACTTCTTTGAGAACCTCAAAGTTTGCCTTATATTTGTGTTCTTGAATCCGAGAAGAGAAGTAAAGGGGTGTTTGGGATTGCTTATTTGAAACAACTTGCTTTTTTACAAAAGTTCTTGTCAACTTATAATAAGTTAGAATGATTTTTATCTTATTCAAAAACTTCTTATTATCAGTTTGACAGTTTGGCACCGGTATAAACTGTTTATCCAAACACTCAAGAGCGCTTGTTACTGGTGTCACATCGGAATAGGTCAATAAGTTGTTTTTATAAGCAATCCCAAACAACCCCTAGGAAAAAGAAAATGGAAATTTTATTCATCTTTCTCGAGAAAGATGGGACGGAACGGAATGAAAATAAATTTGAGGAGTTGTTAATGTGTTCGTGCTCGTTTTCTCGCATATTTGGGAGGAAAGTTGGGAATTCTTTTATTGTGTATTTTCTTTCGACTTGTTTTCTTTGTCTTCTAAAACATTTCGAGAACGAGGGTTTTGTTTTCTTTCCCATTTCCCTCGTTCTTTTCTTTTGTAAGCAAAAGGTCTCGAGAACGCAGCTTACGAGACGTGAACCTGAGATTTAAATGTAACATTGGTTGAATTGTAACTAAAGTTAATTCATGTTTGTTGTTCTTGATCACCTTAGAGACATATGTATCTTAGCATTCAGGTTCTGTTATCTTTGTAGTTTGTTCTTTGCAGAAATGTTAGGGTTGGTTTGACAGTTGCTGAATAGTTTGTTGCATAATGATTAAGATGCTTTCATGATATAGTGCAAAATGAAATATAATTGTTTGACAATTGTTTACAATGAAATTAGGGCTCTTAATGAAAGGGAGATCGATGATACAAAACCATTCAAAGATTTTAGAACCATTAAGAAGCAGATTTTTTTTTTTTTGCCAAACAAGATTCACCTCTTCGTGATTCACATATTGCCTAAACAAACAACCAGATTCAGAGAAATTTACCATCTACTGCTAAGGTAAAATATTATTTTAATTAGAGGAAAAGTTTAAAAAATATTTGATTTTGAATAATTAAGTTTTTAACTATTTTTTTGAATGATGAATCCTTTAATTTTTCTAAAACTGATTAAATAAATCTTTATGACCTATAAAAACAGTTAATGTGAGAAAACTTTGGGAAAAAAAGTAAAAAAAACCCTAAAAACTATCTGATTTTGAATGATTAAGGGGCTGTTTGTTTTTTTAATTTTCCACTTAATCTCCTCTTATGTCTGAATCGGTCAGACATAAGAACTTTCAGATCGTTTTTTTTCCAAATTAAGAGCTGAATTCATTTATTTTCCTTTGAATTTTAAGTGGTAAACCTAGCCCTTAAAACCTCTTATTTCTATCGCCTCCTTACGTTGCTTGTCCACTCTCGTCCCATTCATCGATCTCTCTTGGTTTCTTCTCAAACAAAGGTAATCTTCTCGATCTCTCTTGGTTTCTTCTCGATCTGCTTCATGAATCACATCGCATATTCTGCTTATTGACGGCAACTGTAAAGTGGAGGACTGAGTTAAAAACCCAGCAACGACTTGTAAGGTTCTTTTCATCCACTTTTGCTGTTTGATGTATTCATTTGCTTAGAGCAAACCCAGTTTTTGATGGCTTCAATGATGCATAAAATTTCAGTTTTTGATGACCAAATGGCCTTAAAAACAGTAGAAGATGAACCAGTTTATCCAAGTATTTTGGAATCACCCAAGAACCCATTTACAAAAAGGGAACCTGCCATCACTATAGAATCCTAATCCATGAATCTTGGGATCAAGCCAAAAACCCATTTAAGGTTGCATTAGAGCTGCTATTGGAACTTGAAAACATTGATCGATGCCTTTGTGTGTGTAATCCATTAGAGCTGCAATTAGAGCTGGTGGTTGTAAAACATTTTTTCTTAAATATGATAAATAGGAACCTTCAGGCTTCAAGAAGCGAACTATAACCGAATAAGTTTCAAACTTCAAACGTAAAAACAAACAGTCTGACTGATTCAGATTTCAGACGTAAAAACAAAAAGTCTCACTGATTCAGATTTCAGACTTCAACACCACCTCTTAAAAATCAGAAGTGAATTCGGATTTCAGACTCCAGCTCCTCTTAAAAAACAAACGCCACCTAAGTTTCTATTTCTTTAATAAATAAATCTCTAAATTCTTTCCTAAATTATTTTTATAAATAAATTTTTGAACTTTTTTTGAACACATAAATTCCCAAAAAAAAATTTAAGAAACAAAATTGTGAACTTAATTTTGAACAAAATCAGGACAAAAATTAAACAGAGAAAAATTACGTTATTTCCATTACTAATTCTAAAACATATAAAAGTTATGCGTAAATCAGAAATTAAGTTCATTAACTTAATTTTTCATGTATAAATATTTTTGTATCCATTATTTATACTCAAGGCATAAGTTTCGAATGTTTCAAAATTAGTAATGAGAACAATATAATTTTTCTCTGTTTAATTGATTTATTGTATTTTGTTGTTGATAAGAGAGGGTTGGGTTCACGTGAGACCAGCCTGTTTTCATGAGACCCGTGAGACCACATTTTTACACGTAACCTTCACAGCAAAAACACTGTGAAGGTTTAAAAAAAGTCGAACCTTCACAGCAAAAACACTGTGAAGGTTTAAAAAAAGTCGAACCTTCACAGCAAAAACACTGTGAAGGTTTTAAAAAGTCACCTTCACAGCATTTTGCTGTGAAGTTTCAAGTGTAAAATGTTGGTCTCACGGGTCTCACGAAAACAGTCTCACGAAAACAGGCTGGTCTCACATGATCCCAAGTCTGATAAGAGAAATTGTATATATATATAGAGGAGTGATCATATGAAAACCGTCCTCATTTGTGTAAACCGTGCAAACCACCTTCATCTGTCGATTTCATTGTTTAATCTTATGAAATTTTTTCATGAAATTGTTTAATCTTGTGAAATTGTTTCATATAATACTTTTTTTTGATGAAGTTGTTTCATATATGGTTGTGAAATTGTTTCATATAATATTTAATGAAACTGTTTCATGTATTTCTCTAACATTAATGAAACTGTTTCATGTATTTCTCTAAAATTAAAATAATGAAGATGATAATATCTATGATTAACACCCTCCACAATAAAAATGATTAATCAACCTCTCATAATTACAAAAAAATGAACAAAATGAAAATTTATGATTGGTTGAATGCGGTTTGCACGGTTTGTACAAATTGAGTGGTTTGCATTTGATCGCTCCCCTATATATATATATATATATATATATATATATTTTCATGTTTTTGTTCCAAAAAGGTTTGAGATTTATTTGTTCAAAATTAAGTTCATGATTTTGTTTCTTCAAAAAAAATTTGAGATTTATTTGTTCAAAAAAATTTCAAGAATTTATTTGGTAAAAGATTTAGGAAAAAAATTAGAGATTTACTTGTTAAAAAAGCAATGATTTATTCATTCAAAATCAGATAGTTTGTCGAATTTTTTTAGAATTTTCTCAAATTTTTATCAGATTACTAATTTTTACAGGCTACAAGGATGTATCTAACCGGGTTTAGAAAGTTTAAGGGTTCTATCATCCAAAAAAACAGTATTTATACTTAATCATTCTAAATCAGATAGATTTTGGATTTCTTAGACTTTTCTTTTTTAGTTAATTAAAAAATGTAATGACTATATATTTCAAAAAAATTACACCTTTTTCATTATGAACATTTGTTTTAGATGGAGGAAGTATTACTTAATCCGAAAGATTTTGGCTTTGGGGTTTTGGATGTAATAATAAAACCGAAAATGAAAATAGCTTATCTTTTTGGGTACATAAAATTCGAGCTCAAACATTAAAAAAATATTTAGTGGATCTGATATTGATTCAATCATTCATTGTCGTCAGCATCTTGCCATCGCCACCGCCACCACCACTACTCCTTTCACTATTACCCCGCCACCGCCACCGCCACTACTCCCTTCATCCACCGCCACTATTATGTTCCACGAATAAAAACACCATATTCAATTTTTAAAGAGATTTCATTCTAATTTATGTTAACCAAATGCATGGTCAAACATGATTAAATTCAATTCCAATTCTATCAGATTCCATAATGTAAATCAAACTCCACATAAGTTTTTTAAAATTATGTTCTTAACATTTGAAGGACAAAATAGGAATACTTTTAGAAATTTAAAAACTTTATACATATTAATAATACTAGAAGGGTACTCCTATAATATATCGAGACACATCATGATTTCAATGTTTCGTTTTTTTTATGTTGATATGATACGGTTTCATATGGTTTTAAGAAAGCGATAATTTTTTATTTTTAAATAAAATATAAATTTGAAGAAAATATTTCGATATTAATATCAAATTAACTATTTAAAAGTTATTGTTTTTGGTGTAATTTTTTTTAATTGAATTTGGGTTTTTTAACAAAGTAATTTAATTTATATTTAATAATATAATTGTTTATAAA